CACTGTGAGTTCCAGATCATCGAGAGGGTGTGTGTGTGTGTGTGTGTATGTGTGTGTGTATAGCAGGAAGTGTCTCACAAACAAAACAAGATCTGAGCTGGGCACGGTGGATGTGATAGGAGAAACTACTTTCAGTTTAAAATCATGTGGAAAGGCCCTTTAGGAAGAGAGAATGCATATAAAACTAGAGGCAGGGATGAAGAGCAATGGTGGAGACTTAAGGTGGTACCCAAAGCATGTGGGGGCTGGGCCAGGGAGATGCAAGTTGGTAGATAAGGAGCCTCTTGGGACCTGGGGTTGTAACTGCTTAGTTGTTAGTACAGTACTTCTCTTGCACGCAGAAGGCACTGGATTCAATCCACAGTATAGCATAAAATTGAGAATGTGACACAAGCTTGTAATCCCACTCTGGGCAGGTGGAGGTAGGAGGACCAGGAATTCAAGGACATCCTAGGCTACCTGGTGAGTTTCAGGCCAGTCTGGGCTACAGAAGAGAAGAAGCGCCCCCCACCTCCAACCCCCCTGGGTTTTCATCTTAAAAGCAACATGAAATCACTGAAAGGCTTAACAGGGGGTTGGGGGAGCTTTCTGTGGGGAATGCCTGCATTGCATTTGCATTTTGAAAAGATTATTCTGGCCGCAGAGCTAACATCTTGTAAGGTAATTTCTGCTCAGCAAATCCAATAAACACACCACGGAGGTGCCGGCAGAAAGTAGCTGGAGTTTGAGTCTTGACTGCATGATTCACTGCTCACAGGGCTTCAGACAAAAAAAAAAAGATGGCCTTTCAAAGCTTCAGTTTCCTCGTCTGTAAAATGGGATAATTATCTCTCTCATGTTCTTGAGAGGGTTAAAGGAATGAAAATAAACACAGCCTTCCTACATCCCAAGCTATTCTCTGAGGTTTTAAAAGGAGAAACTGATGCTGATCTGAAGCATGAGATCGACATCATGTGTTAGCTTACAAGAAAGCTAACGTTTGGTGGGCCAGTTTTTCTTAGACTAAACACCTTGGACTTCATATGAACTTCAGCTGGCTCCGCATCCATCTTTTGGGAATCATCACTCCTGCCCCTTCAACAGTGAACACACAGCAGATGCAACCACTCATTTGACTAGCCGTAGAAGCTGCTGACACCCACCCTTCCTATTATGGCATTTATGAGATGATAGACCACAGGAGAGACCAGAATGCAGACAAATGATAAGGGAGCCTGGCAAAAACAGAAGCCAAGGGCTGGAGGTTGGGGGGGGGGGGTGGGAACCTGGGGGAAGAGGTGTGGGAGGCGTTTACTGGGAACCAGTTACAGACTGTGTTGCTGTCCTCTCGACAGAGTAGGGCCAGCAGTTTTGCTCTGTTCTGATAGACCGGGATTCTGCATGCCTTCATCCCTTGGTTGGCCTGGGACCTTGTCAGAATTCGGCTCAATGGATTATAAGTCTAGGTTTTGTTAAAATCCACTCGAGCTTACTTAGTCTCCCATTGGCCAATGGTGAGATGATGTCAGCAGTGACACCACTGATTTATAGTGGCACTTTAAAAAACTCTGATCGCTACGGAAAGATGAAATGCGACCCATAGAGGGTCACCGATAGAGAAGCTTGGAAATCCAGAAGTAAAGGCAAGGAATCAAATATTTATCTTGTCTTTTTGAGATGTACATAGTAGATGTGGCTATGTTCTTCTGATTGATAATTGATTGACTGATCCAACATCTTACCATGTAGTCTAGGCTGGCCTGGAACGTGCCGTGTAGACTGGGCTGGTCTTGACCTCACAGAAACCTACCTGCTTCTTCTGCCTCCTGAGTGCTAATATTAAAGGGGTGAATCATCACATCAGGTTTTTTTTTTTTTTGTCTATTTAATTTAATTTAATTTAATTTAATTTAATTTAATTCTATTTATTTTTGGTTTTTTCGAGACAGGGTTTCTCTGTGTAGCCTCAGCTGTCCTGGAACTCACTCTGTAGACCAGGCTAGCCTCGAACACAGAAATCCTCCCGCCTCTGCCTCCCAAGTGCTGGGATTAAAGGCGTGCGCCACCACCGCCCGGCCTTTTTTTTTTTGTCTATTTTAATGGAAATATTTTAGCTAAAATAATGAAGAATTTGACATGACAGAACCAGAATATCAACATTTTGTAATTGTCAATGACTGTAGGCATTGACTGTCAGTGACTGCTACCATCATTACTGCTGTTACATGCCTCTCAATGGAAAAACATGCTCTTGCCCAAATTGAACCAGATCCAAATAAACTAGATCTAACTTCATATTTGTAGAAAATGGAGAGGATGTGGATATGTTAAATGACACAGTGAGAGACTATAGGAAAGAGAGAGAGAGTGTGAGCAGAAAGAGCTAGCAGGAGACATACCACCTGTTTACTGTCCTAGAGGCTGAGAGGCTCTGGGGTCCAAGAGAATGGAGCTGATAAATGAGGCACACAAGAGCGGACTTTATTCAGAGCATTAGACAATTTATACTCTGAGGGTTAAGAGGAGCCACATGAGTTAAGTGTACAATCACACAGCAAGCAGCTCGTGGTGGATAAGCTGGAGAGGTAAAAACATGTTTTTTCCACAGAGGCATGTGAACAAATAACAATAGCCTGTTGTAAACGAGTCGTCTAGAAGTAATCTCCGTTCTATCTGCTACACCTGGAAGGAGAACAAAAAATGCATCCCAAGGACAAGTTTGAAGAAACCGAGGTTGCAAAACTCATCTTGGCTTCTTGGAGTTTTCCTACAAGCACTCAGAAATCTCCTCATAGGACCCCATTCTTGGACCATGTTCTGTCAATACCTAACTACAATTGTACACTAACCGGTCAAGGGAAAGTATTAAATTAAAAGTTACTGATCTGAGCACTAACTTCAACAGTGGTAGAACATTTGATGATTGTCAAAGATTATTCCTAACTTTCTATGTGTGCTGATTGTACTGTAGTTACATGAGAGGAAGGGAGAGAGGGAGGAAAGGAAGGAGGGAGGGAGAAAGAGAGAGAGTGCAGAGAGAGGGAGAGAGAGAGAAAGGGGAAGGAAGGAGGAAAAGAAAAAGGAGAAGGGGAGTGGGAGGGGCAGAGGGAGAGCCTACTTTTCTAGGGTTAGGAATTAAACCAGGGCCAGCCTATACCTGGTAACCACGTTGCCACTGAGCTACAGTCTCAGTCCTGAAATTTTTTTCAGTAATAAATGAATTTATTTTAAGATAAATGATATTGACAGTTTACTTTAAATTGGGAAAGGGGACAGAGAGATGGGGTAAGGGTATCAGTAAAGCAAGAAGAGGCATGAGTTGATAGTTGTTGAAGGTGGTGAACTCGGGATACTAGGAATAGTTTCATTTTTCATGTAGGAAACAGCTCAGAAACTCACTAGCCATCCTATCTGCCCCCTTTTTTTTTATATAATAACATCATTTACTATTATAATAATGTTATGTTAACCTGATGGTTTCCCCAGGCTGACTCAGCATTTCCAGCTAAAAAAAACTGGAATTCTCTTGTGAAAACTCCTCCATTTGTGATGGGGGCTAGGACAGTATTCTGTAACCCAGCTCCCTGAGTCTCCCCATAGTCCTTTGAGAAATGAGGGTAGAGACGGTTTCTCATACCTTACAGCAGTGGTTCTCAACCTTCTTAACGCTGCTGGGACCCAACCAACCACAAAACTATTTCCATTGCTACTTCATAACTGTAATTTGCTACTGTTATGAATAGTAACGTAAATAAATATGTGTCTCTCGATGAGCCCTCTGAGTTGTTCGACCCCCTCCCCTTTGCCCTCCCAGGTTGAGAACCATTGCCCAAGGGGTTAGCAGTGATTTCCTGCAGCAATAAAAGGTGGTATTACAGTTCGACTAGGTTGGAACTTTGGGTTCAGCAGGTAAATACCGTAGTAAATTTATTCCAGTGCATTATTCTCCCAATTGGTGGCATGGAAATACCAATCATGTTTAGCTCACGGAGCCGCCATGACGATAGTCAGATACATGTCATGCATGCATTCCACCAACAAGGAGCTCCGAGCCTAGAAGTGTTCCCGAGTTCTGAGAAGTTTATGAATGGAGCCGTGAAGAAAATTCAAGGGGGGGGGGGCAGGCCGTGTGGAGCCTGAAGGGAGAGTTCAGAGCAGGGGGGAAACAGTACTTCAGTTAACAGTGGCTCCGAAGGGGCTATGAAATTAACGTAGTAATTTGAGGGAGAGCAGCTTCCAGAGAGGTGAGCTGCAATTGGAGAGATCCATGGGGCAGTCTGGCTGGTTGAACCTCAAGTGACCAAAGTGAAATAGATGCCAGGGGGTGATCTGGCTTGCCCAAGCAGGAGTCATTCCAGTTCCTCTCAACCTCAGTTGACATCTGACAATATGTGAGGATTTTTGGATGCCATACCTTTGGAAAGAGAGGGGCCGCGCGGTCACAGCATTTAGTAGACAGAGGCCAGGCATACCTCTCCCCCTCCCCCGCCCCGCCCCCCAAACTACGCCTTGCCTAGGACAAAATTAAACCCTTTCAAAATGTCAGGAGTGGTGAAGTTGGTGAATCTTGCTTGCTACACAGAGAACAGCAAGGGCAGGAATGAGAAAGAGGTAAGCCGTGCTGGAGAGAACAAATCTAAGACTGGAGTGGCTGAGTGAATGGGAATGACGTGGAAGAAGGCGACTAGGCTAGACTCTGCTAGAGAGGAATGTGGAGTTTCCCCTAAAGCAGCGGGAAGCTGCCGGGAACATTTCTGCTTGGAGGAAGATAGCCTGCTTGCACGAAGCGCTTAGCACGTACAGGCACCCAGAGGATAAGGTCTGTTATTTATTGTCACCATTGTGTCTTCCCTACCCCGCCCAACTCCGACCCCTGCCGCAGCGTGACTGCAGTGACTCCTCCCGGCCAGCAGAGGGCGCCGGCCTGCACTTGGCCGCCGGCCGCCCGAGGCGGGCCTCCTCTTGCCGCTCCCCCCGCCCCCCACCTCGTCTTTCCCCCTTAGGAGAAGTCGGGAAGGTGGCAGCGGCGGCGGTGGCGGTTGTCCCGCCCGGCCGGTTGGTGTGACCGGTCGGCGCGTGCTGCGCAGCTTCCGCGCCTCGTCTAGCCGGGCAGAGCCGAGCGTAGACCGAGACCGGAGCCCGCGCGGACAGAGGGCGGCGGCGGCGGCCAGGGCGGCCCGTGGGAGGGAGCGCGGGGCCCCGGCAGCGCCGCCGGCTCCCGGCCCTGCCGGCCTCCTCGGTCGGAGCCGCGGCCATGGCGGCCAGCGCGAAGCGGAAGCAAGAGGAGAAGCACCTGAAGATGCTGCGGGACATGACGGGGCTGCCGCACAACCGCAAGTGTTTCGACTGCGACCAGCGCGGCCCCACCTACGTGAACATGACGGTCGGCTCGTTCGTGTGCACCTCCTGCTCCGGCAGCCTGTGAGTGCGGACGGGGGTCGGGGTACCGGGCCGTGGCGGCGGGGCCCGTTGGGAATGCGGCCAGCCTAGGCCTCGGGGGCCCGGGATGCTCTTGCGCTTTGGCCGGGCGAGGGTCCAGCCTTGGGGTGGCCGGCGTGGGTGGGGCGTGGGTGGGGTCGGGGTCAGCGAGCGGCCGGCCTGGCGGAGCATCCCGGCTTCCCGCCGCGCAGCGGGCGTGGCCGGACCTCGGGGGGCGCAGGCCGGGAGCAGCCCCGGGAGGGCCGTGCGGGGTCTTTGTGCGACCCGCAGCTCCACGGTTGGGAGCCCGGCATTTGCTCAGTGCCACGGAACTGGTGGGAAGGGAGAGAGCAGGGACGCAGGAGCTGGGGATCTTCCTCCGGTCCACAGCACTCAGGTAACTGGGGCTTGTTGGGGGCTGGGGGGGGGGACGTTAAAAGGTTTTGATGACTGAGATGTGAATCCCAGGAGAAAAGTTCTCCCTAGAGGATTAATTATGTGAGGCGGGGAAGCAGCAAAAGCACGAGGGTGGTGGCTGCATGGCTTCAAGTGTCCTGAGTTGGGGAAAGTTTTACTGGAAATGGGTTATCAGGAGTTGCGCGGTTCAAAATAAGAATGGAGCTCGCTGAGATTTCTGGATCAATACCTAAGTGTCCTAACTGTATGGAGAAATGGGGACAGGGAAGACAATATTGAGAAAGGAGATGGAGGTGGCCCCCTGAAATTACTCAGATGGCATATGTCTAGGCCTCTCTGTTTAAACCGTGCTGTGATGGGAAGTTTTGTTCCTGTGGAATTTGATTTGGAAAGGTTGCAGGTGATTCTGGAACTGATTAGATGGTATTATACAATAGTTATCTTGAATTCAATACATTTTTAATGAGCTGGTAGTTAATATTCCTTGGGTCTTTAAAAAAATATTGCCGCAGTGTGGGTACAGGGGTGTGTGATTTGTATATCTGGGCTTACTTTTACAGGCTGAGCCTTTTCCTCGGCCTCCCCAATTTTTTTATATTATTAATAACAATGTATGTAACACGTGGGAAATTTTCTAAAAAGTTGGAAGATGTTGATGTGGCCAATAATTCACTATTGGCTCCCCCCCTCCCCATTTTAAATTTGGGCAAGGAGGCATCTTTGGTTCTTGGTGAGTATAACATTTTGGGTGGTTCTTATTCGGATTTTGGATGAAGCTTTAGGGTGTGGTGATAAATACATGCCTTATCTCTTAGCATTTACATTCTAATGGAGACAGTGGAAATGCATAAGTAAATAAGAAAAGAGTCAGGGTGCTGTGCTCAGATTTGGAGGAGTGCAGTAAGAAGGTCCTAGAAGAGACTTTCAGGTTTATAGTTAGGAAATACTCAGAATTTGCCACAGCTATATGTGTGGCTCATGGCTTTCATTTATAAATGAAACACAATTAGAACATTAAAGTCAACTTTATTATGTTAGGCAACTTTGGTTAAGCTAATAAGTAGTCCAATTTATTTAAAGTGTACTTTACTTTTTTTTTTAAGATTTATTTATTTATATGTATATGAGTACACTGTCTCTGTCTTCAGAGACACACCAGAAAAGGACATCAGATCCTGTTGCAGATGGTTGTGAGCCACAGTGTGGTTGCTGGGAATTGAACTCAGGACCTCTGGAAGAGCAGTCAGTGCTCTTAACCACTGAGCCATCTCTCCAGCCCCATGTACTTTACTTTTAATATGTGCTTAAGAAGAATGTCTTTAAAAAAAAAAAAAAAGCCGGGCGGTGGTGGCGCACGCCTTTAATCCCAGCACTTGGGAGGCAGAGGCAGGCGGATTTCTGAGTTCGAGGCCAGCCTGGTCTATAGAGTTCCAGGACAGCCAGGGCTATATGGAGAAACCCTGTCTCGAACCCCCCCCCCCAAAAAAAAAAAAAAAAAAGAAGTATATCTTGTTTTTGCAAGACATGAGGTCCTTTGATGCATTTGAGTCTTTGGGTTGGTATACATATATATTTACATATATATAATTTATTGCTTTAGAATTGACATGATTTAGAGCTCTTTATAAGTACATAAAGTACTTTCCTTGTAGCAAGTATGTAGTAAAATATTTTCAATGTTTTAGAAACATTAGACATACAGGATCTATTAGTGTGATTTTTGTTTTTCTACAAGGTCTCTATGTAGCCCTGGCTGTCCTGGAACTCCCTCTATAAACCAGGCTGGCCCTGAACTCACAGAGCTCTGTGCCTCTGCCTCCTGAGTGCTGGAATTAAAGGTGTGTATCACCATCCCTGCCTCAGAGATGTAGTTATTACCTTACACAAAACTCAACTCCAAATGGATCAAGGACCTGAACTTAAGGCCAGACACACACCATCACCCAGTTCTTTTCTGTGCACTTGTGTATACAAATCCACTATAACACTTGGGTGGCTTCAGAGAAGGAGTTGTAGGAGGCAACTCTCTCCTTTCACCTGTGGATCCTGGACATTGAACTAGGTCACTAGGTTTGGTGGAAAGTGCCTTTACTACACTGAGCTGCTTCTCTGGGCTGCCAGTATAATTTTTTATTTTAAAGGATTTTTTTTTCCTTGAATATGTTATCCTTGGAACATGTGAAGGTTCATATGGAGATGTCACAGAGGAGTTGATATCTGAGGAAAGATCTTCAAAGACAAGTCCCAGGTAGCAGCAGCTTTGTGTAGTAGAAGAGTAGGGTACTTAGCTGCGTTACCCTGTTTTTTCTTTTACCTCGAAAAGCCGTGCAATTAATACTGAAAATAGCCACTCAGCAGGTTTTTCTTGGATATGAAATAGTGAGAGTAAAAGCTTCTGACACAGACTTGTTTTTCATACTAGAGACAGGGACAGGGCCTCATACAATGTCTGATACACTGTCGGTGCACAGTGGGTGTTACTAACAAGAGGGAGAAGGGAATAAAAGACACTGATGTGAGAAGTGCCTCCATCAGAGTCTGTCATATCCTTTTGGGCTGTAACCTCAATCCTGACTCAAATGGTCTCAGAAGATGAACACAATTTATTGATAGGGTTTAAATGGTATTTTATTTCCTTGATATGAAAAGATGGTTGCCTACAGCTCCTGGAGTCACAAGCTGCACTGGAGTGTAGTTGGGTTAGCCAGACACTGTCTACCCTGAGCCAGAGTCCTCACAACATCTCCATCTTCACGTTAGAAGAAGGATCCCTAGGGTCCTAGTGCAGAAGGCTCAGAGTCCTGCAAAGAAAGCACAGATGCTGCAGTGTGGCCATGGAGTGTCTGCTGTTGCAAGCATTTGGAGAAACTGCAGCTCCTGAGGAATTGTATCTCTGGAAAGCCATAATGCTGGAAAACAACTTAGGATGAGTGAAATAATAATTAGGTATTTCTTTATGTAGATGACATGGTATAATCGAAAGAGTAAGTCATGTACATGTTGGCGTGTATTCATTCCCTTGGCTTAAGATTTAAATTTGTGATGACAGCATTGTGTGCTCATGGTTGTTAAGTGGGACTAGCACATGGCTGTATTAACTTATTGAATATACTGTAGTTGAGGATAGGGCAAGCAGTGTAGGTCCAAGGATGAAACAAGCCTTGTTGGCTGCCATTGCCTGACTTCTCTAGCAGTGTAGATAACTAGTGTCTATCATGAGTTCAGTGCTTTAGGATGATAGATATAATAACCTACTTTTTAGTCCCTCAATAAGAGCTTTGTTTAGATGAAGCCACCTTGTTTTACTTTTTTTCTTTTTGCTAGCACTACTAGAGTCAAAGCTAATCTCCTGTTTTTTTTTCCCTCTTCCCAGATTTCTGTCTTGTATACTCAGATGGTGCTAATTCAGAGTAAATGAACACGCTTCTGAAACTTTTAAAAGAGACTTGCAATTTCCATGCAGTTCAGTGTTTGTTAGGGAGACCAGGCATGTTGTGACTTACTGGTTTGTTTCTCTCTTTGTCTTTGTAGAATACATAAGTTATGAACAGATATTCAAATAACAAACTACAGACAATAAAAATTTGTCTTCGTGTGACTGAATTATAAACTCCCAGGCTTGAGGCTCTGGATTTAACCTCTAAGGACGAAGCCGGGGTTTGCTGTAATTACTTTTGTTGTTGGAGACACAGTTTCCTGTAACCCAGGCTGGCCTCAAACTCACTGTAATGTTAAGGGTGGCTTTGAACTCGAACCTGCTGGCACCGTTTCCCAAGTGCTGGGTTGACAGGTGTGCACTGCCTTGCCTGGCTTATGCAGCCCTGGGGACAACTCCATCTCCTGAGCTGCAGCCTACTTTTTGTTACTTTGATACAGGGTCTTATTGTGTAGCCCGCACTGGCTGTAAACAGAGGTAAACTGAGTCTTGCCTCAGTCTGCTGAGTTTGGAATTATTGGTGAGCCACAGTGCACTGCCTAAGGACTAGTTTGGGATGAAATTGTTTTGTGGAGATTGTGAAGAGTAGAATCAGAAACTAACAGGAGATTTTTATTTTAAACAAACAAACACATAAATTGTTTAGTGAAGGCTTAGGCAAAATAAAAAAGGAACATCTGAGAGACAGTTTGCTTCTCTACCTGAGTGTGCTAGTGCTCTCTTTATTTCCCTCTTTCCTTTTTTGCTTCTTTCGACAGTGGTCCACCATATGGCTAGGAGTGCTTTCAACTTACCATACTTCTTTTTAGCCTCTGGGATTACAAGGATTTGCCACCATGCCTGGTTCCAGACAACTGTACTTTAGTCAGTATAGAATTTAACTGGACGGAGGGAGCACTTGCCATCGAATGCCCATTAGGTATTAGACATTGTGTGGAGCTTTTCCAAAGGGAAGTCAGAACAAGGATTCGTGCAGTATACAGGTTAAGGGACAAGCATATCTGGACTGATCTTTTTTTTCAAGCTACACATGATACATTTGTGAGACACTTCTAAAGAGAGCTTTGGGACTAGGTATCTTTACCTCTTGGAGCAGCTTTCCATTGTGCATTTTTCCATCTCATATGGCTAAAGTAATGAAAGTCTAGGA